CTTTACAATTTATCTGCAATGTGATGGCTTCTAGTACCTTTTTCTCGATAAGTCGTAAAAAATTATGATTGAAAATGCCTCATTTAGCAGCCGTCGGATAAAAGAGTCGCATGATGCACTGCCTTAAATCTATGAAATGGCGAAACACTATGGCGCATTTAAGCACGCATCTGTATGCATCATAGCACCGCACTAAAACCTTCGGCAGAATATTTTATTACACTTAAAGGAGATAACTATATTGGTAGTTCAGATTCTGCGAAATCTCCATTAAATTTGACAAGAAAATTTACAAGTATGCCTGTTTCAATGCGCAAAGTACTGATTAATGTGCCGTCGCTCTGCTCAAAGTTGCCGAAGCCTCTTTTCACATTTAAACCTTTGAGTGTAGGGACAACGTCTGTCATCTTAGTCGCTACTCAAGCATTCCTCGTTGAAAATACTGTCAACTCCCCTTTCCCCGCCCGCTCACTTACTCGTCATTATTTTTAACATTTAAAACGCTTTCATAGTGGGAAGCTAGTGCTTACTGCCGTTGTTTTGGTTTTGTCGGATTTCAAAGCTATCGGACATTTCCACCATCGCCATATTTGATTGCCAATAGAGACGGCGACTCGGTGGTTAATAATTAACGTATTTGGCAATGTTCTCTCATAATCTCTTCGAAGACTACTTATGCAAGGCGTTAAAGCATTGCCTTCCGATGTCTTCACCTGTCGATACGATCTATACCATCACTATTTTCACTAAAGTAATTTTTATTTCATTATTTATTATTCTCATGACTATTTAAAGATGTGAATATTCTAGGCGAGACACTTAGCTGGTCTTTGAAGTCTCACTCGAATACAATCAATTGGTCTACTTTTTTTGTGACAGCCGATTTAAAGAACCATTTCTCGATCCTCCACTTCCTTAATCCATCCATACCAAATTTTTGACGGGCAAATAGTGAGCAATGGACAGTGACAGAGGAAATTCACCCCGTCACCTTATCAGATGATCTTGTAGCGCGCGTGGATTACATCTAAGTGTGTCCGACTGTTCTTCCGGAGCATGTACATGTCAGACGCGGTCCAAAGTACCTTAAATGCAATTCATCCTTTTACTATCGCTATTGGTATAAAACCGAAGGCAGAACTCTTCAATATGCTTCATTTTGGTTGTTCACCTTTTTATTCTCCCTTTTATGTTCCTGTTTTTGGGATTGGTCGAGAGTAAATGCATATAGAGCTTTAAAACAGTCCCATCATGGGAGAAAGTGTAGAAACGTTTAATTATTCGTTAGTCTGCGTCCCACGCATCCCTCATTTGCGAATTAAAGAGCATTTCTCCCAGAGTAAATAAATGGGCATTTTAAGTTTCACATGTTTAAAATTAAAAAGAATGTTTTTACCAGGCGAAAGCTCATACGTGCGTAGTTTTATTTTGTTTTTTTTTTAATGGGAGAAGGACAATGTGGTAGATTCTGTCTTTCGAATAATAAAAGAAATGGACCGAATAATTAATCGAGATCTGTGGAGTTGCGCTTTGCTTTTTTTGGTGGTTGTGGTGTATAGTGCAGTTTTGGTGACCGACCGGTTTCTGTACCTCCGATTCAGGTGTACTGCTGCTAGACATGGCACTATGTCTACCAAAATTCTACGATTTCATTTGAGTTTGTTGGCAATAGGCTTAGCACAGTTTGCCGCCGGGAAGAGGGAATGCCAGTATCCCTGTATTTACCAACTTGAAATGGTCCGGACTAATTCAGATTGTCCTTTAATTACTCACTGCAATTGCATTCGTTGCTTCCTTTTTGGAAATTCTAAGTCGTTTTGCTCCAAATTACATTTGTCTCATCATGGCTCCCTTCTCGTGGGCGCGGAACCTTGCCAGTGCTTTTTCCTTGCGTATTTCTTCCCCTTTCTACTCATCTAAGGCTTATAAGTTTAATTTGGAAAGCACCGTTTGGGTGGCTCTTTGGTTCCGTCGTGAAATGGTCTTTCCACCTGTAGGTCTAACTTCCTCGCAAATTCCTTTGGAAGGCACTTTTTAATTGCACGGTTCTACTTGCTTTGCGCTGGCTTACCCACCATTCCGATGTTCTTTAAACCCCTCCCTCATTCTGGATAACCTGTAGTCTGCACGCCTTGATTTGCATCTTTTCACTTCAAGTCATCGCGAGTCATTGTTCTTGTTTAATTTGCATGTACTAGAAACTATCACACTGTCATCTTAGCGTATGCATTTTTTGCATTCAAAGAACGTCAAATTTTGAATGCGTCTGCTTGCAACGTCATGTGCATTGAAACGGTTATTACTGGTGCTAGAAAGTGTCTTAGTTGAGCGTTTCTTTGAAAGTAGCGAACTGCTCAGGAATCGAAAGTTCAAGCTGAAACATTGAAATTCTAATTGCGCACTCATGTATCGTCCGATCTCACGTCTATCATATTTATTGTACTAATTTTGGTGCCATTTCTACAAGAACAACAGTCAAATCATTCATTATTGCCCCACATAGGCCTTAATACTAGTGAGATCGGATTGTCTAATACTTTCAGTCACTTTATTTTTTATTGTTTCATTCGACGGGGTCGAACACAAATATGCTTTAGTAATAAATGGTTGAAGTCCGATAATTTAGCGGTATTAAAATGAAGCAAATGTGACTGAGAAAGGCCTTCGTGCAACATGGGCATAATTTGCTTGATTCCACCCTTCAATGGAGTGAATACTACCTCACTCCAGAGAAGCATTCGCACCTCAAATTGTGAAACACTTCAGGATTGTCCTTCTTAACATATGTCCTGCTGACATCCAACACTCCGGCAGATCGTACTTCTGGGCCTCTTTAATGGCCAAGGGCTGAACCTGACGTCCCCCGAGGTCTACGTTCTTCTGCGAATCACGCCGGGCGAGGAATTTGTCAAGTGCATCATGCGCGACGGGCGAATGCAGGGAGCGCTATTGATAGGCGAGACTGATCTAGAGGAGACATTTGAAAACCTCATTCTCAGTCAGATCGACCTCTCACAATTTGGTGAACGCCTCCTCGATCCCAACATCGACATTTCAGACTACTTCGAATAACTGTTCTTCACTACAACTCCACAATGCGTTTGGAAAACGATGTTGCTGCCATTTGCTTTCTTAATATTCTTTAGAACACTTTTTGCGTACACTTTATTTTTTAGCAATGTCTTGATTAGGGGCTGTGTCTGCGAGATGTGGTGACGATTGGGCGGACCAATAATTACCCCTTCCAGTAGGTATGGGGCTTTCCTTTTCGTTTTTTCAACTCTCACAACCTTGACGTGATTTGCCAAACCAAATGCGTCATCAAGGTTCTTTGTTTCTGCATTTCCTGCGGGCCCTTATTGATGCGATTTCAGCTTACGTGTTTGCTGTGAGTCATCCACCGTCAGCATTCAGCTTGGGTGAGTGCAACTGAAATGCATAAAATTAGTCAATTTCGTTTGACTGGATGCGTTTTCAAGAGAAAAGGTGGGCTATTTGGAATTTCTGTGCGCGCAGTTTCAAGTGGATTTCCGGTGGCACTACTGCTGCTGCTGCCATTGTTTCCAAGACGTAAAAGTTTGCTGAAAAGCAGAACTAAAAATAGCACTTCGTTGATGGTGGTCTTCCTGTATGTGGATTTGCTGAAACCGCTTGGATTTTTTCCCATGAAATTGCTCAAGTTAACGCCTTTTGACCTCATTAAATAAGCTCTCTCAAAACATGGTAACCGCTCGTCAAGTTGACAACCTGCTTAGATTTGTCAAACCAACAAATAGCATTGTTCGCGAAACTTGGTAAACCTTTTGGTTAGGGACAACTTACGTGAACAAAATAGGACAAATGGACAAAAACGCCACAGTTAACCAACAGGTCGCCGCGTGTGGAACCAGTCACGCTATTGCCAAAGTAGCTTTTTTGTTTCAGTGGTCGAGTAAAACACCCATTTTTTCTTCTCTTTGGACAAGGCTTTCAGCCGAAGAAATAGCCAAATTCAAGGCACTTTTTCACCCTCATAAAGTTTTCTTCATGAGGTGGACATAATAAGTCAGGAAGTGAGTGGCAAGTCATTTCTCCACAGAGTAATGTTGTTGCATTTGGGCTAAGCCCCGTATAAACAGGGATTAACTGCTTTGGTGGAAATTTTCCTTCAAACTACCCTATGCTAGAAACGCTCATGGATGATCACATTTCAAGCGGAAATCTCGGTTCACAACTCAGATTGAGAGCTATTGAAGTTAGATGACACTCACCAAGGCAAATTACGTCTGTTTTTACTTGAATCAAGGCTCTGCGGAGGTGCTGAGCGCGCAGTTTTATTCCGACTTCTTCATTGCTCATCTTCCACAATCTATTTCATAAAATGGACAGGTATGCAGCCCTGTACCTTTGAAAGCTTTGCTTGTCAAAATTCTTGTATTGAATAAGGATACATCTCCTTTAAAGATAGGTGAGTAACAAGTATTTGCAATGCTTGAGGTCAATAGTAATGGCAATT